CAAACACATGCTTAGCATAAGGTGGTGCCTTAAGCAAATCTAGGGTCAGTGTAACCCAAAGGTTTCTACTGGCTGCTGGTGGTGGGCTTGGCTGTAGTAACAAAACACCACAGACTGGGAGACTTCAAACAACAGACATGTATTGTTTTACAGTTTTGGAGAGGAGAATTCTAAAATCATGGTGTCAACAGGACCATCCTCCCTCTGAAACCTGTAGGGAGAGTCCTTCTTTGCCTCTTTCAGCTCTAGTATTTGCACCAATCCTTGGCCTCCCTTGGTTTGCATGCCCATATTCTTTCCATGTGTCTGTCTTCACATAGGGTTCTCCTCTTTGTGTCTTTCTCCTCTTTTTATAAGGACCGCAGTCATATTGGATTAAGGGCCCACTGTACTCCATCATGACCTCATCTTAACTAATTACATCTGTAATGACCCTCTTTTCAAATAAGTTGCATTCAGAGATACTGGGAGTTGGGACTTTCACAAATCTTTCTGGGGGAACATAGATCAATTCAATCTATAACAGGTTGCATACATCCCGGTTTGCTTTGGTTCTTGTCTAATGGCTAAGGCTGAGATGTGGAGTATAACAGTCAGGTGGATATCTTTGTAGGTAGTTTGCTGGAAAGAACAATGAGCAAAGATGTCTGTATCAGGTCATATCATGATTAACAAACTCCAAGAACCAAGGTCAATGGAATCAACCCTTCCCACTTATCCCAGTGTTTACAGGACTCCCCTGGGACATCCTGGGGTGACTTCAATGGGTTTCAGGTAGATTTGGGAACTGGCAGTTAACATCATAGCTTAACCTAGCCTGTCTCAAACACGCTCAGAACACTTAAATTAGCTCACAGTTGGGTAAAATCATCTAACACAAAGCCTATTTTATAATAAAGTGTTGGCTCTCTCATGTAATTGATTGAATATGGAACTGAAACTGTGAAACAGAATGGTTGTCTGGGTACAGAATAGTTGTAAGTGTCTAGGTGTTTTACCCTTGTGATTGATCACCTGGCTGATGGGGGGCTGTGACTGCCACTGCCCAGCATCAGAAGAGAGTATCTTACAGCATAGCATTAGCCTGGGAAAAGATCAAAATTCAAACTTGATGTACATTTTCTACTAAATGTATATTGCTTTTGCAACATCACAAGGTCAAAAAAAAATAAGTTTGTACCATCCTAAGTCAGAGGTCCTCTCCAGAAAAATTGGTAGGTCCTGGAAGCTCCTGGAAGCAGGACCAGCAGGGAATGAGACACACCAAACCGATGAAGATCCTGATGAGGTCCAGAAGGGCACCACCCACAGCACAGGCTGGAGTGAAGCTTCCTGACAGTGTTTGGCACTTGCCATTCTGAGGACAGTGAACAATGTACAGTAGTGGTCACAGAGAGGATTTCGGGTTTCCAGAATAGGGAGGTAGAGCTTAGGCTCTGCTAAGCCCTAAATGTCCCTAATAGATTATTTTAAAAGATTATTTTAAAAGGAGAAGAAGATTAACCAAAGAAACTAAAACCTACTCAGAAATGCTATTTTGATGCTGAGTAATATATACGATAGGACCACTTCTGGAATACACATTCCATTCCTCATATAACTGCACAAATGATCACGATGAAGATGTAAAAATGGTGATGCTTTGCATAATTGGGGGGTAGTTAAAGTTAAAGCAATAGCTGCTCTTGACAAAAGGATTGAATGTGAGGAGAAAAAGCGCAGCAAACGTGAAACAGAAGATCAAGGGCCCTGGCTCAAACCCACCATTAGGAAAGTTTTGGGAGAAGGAGACCTAAATAGGGACCTGGAAATGTGGATGACCTGGAAACCAAGAGGTCAGAAACATCAACTGCTGAAGAGAACTGATAATGTTGGATTCAGTAAAGCTCATCACTTATGTAGCTCAGTAAAGAAACTCTTGACCAGGTCAATAGGGAGGTGTCTGTGAACTTGTAGCAAGCAATCCTGGTACCTTCTAAACACTGAGGTCCAGGTCTGAGTGATTAAGTTAAAAACAATGGATGATTGTAAGGAGATGTAGATACTTCATTTGGGGGACTTGGAAGTGAGGAGATAGAAATACATCATAATAATTAGGAGGGGTAGCAAAGTTAAAATTCTAATATAAACAACGAAGGTATTTTACTAACATTTGTTAGAAGAGGCTCAGTAAACTGCTGGAGCTAAGATTCTCGTATTTACATACTATACTCTAATGTGTATATATGTATTATATATATATACTTCCTTACTAAATCACTTTCATCTAATCCTTCTTCCAGGGTGTGCTTCTGGGAGAGTCATACCTATGATACCCACCTACCTCCTTCCTGTCTGATGATTGGAATTCTTGTGCCCAAAGGTCAACTGGCAAATAGCCCTTGTTGGCTGGACACTCCGTTGACAGTTCAAACTCAGTGTGTCCAGATTTGGCCATGTCATTTCCCTGAGTTCTCCTTCCAGATGCCCCAACTCCCTTGAAGTTCGACAGTCTGTCACGAGGGGACTTGGGGTCCACTTCGAGCAATGTCTGCCCTTGTTCCCCTTATCCAGAATGCCAGCAAGTGTTGCCGTTTCTTCTTTTGACCCTTTATTTATATGCCCAGTATACTTAACAGGGTTCAGACTTCCATTTCTCCAAACTCCAGCTAATGAGTGCACTATTCTCGCAGGTGACTCTCCCTGACCTCAACTTCTTACCAAGCATAATGCACAGCACCATCTAATTTTATGCCCCAAAACACCAGGTCCATGGAGTCACTGCCCTGATAACGGCTCCCCATTGACTCATGTCAGATTCTAACTTTCCATTTACTCATTCATACATGCATTGATTCATTCAAGAAATGTTTTTGAGGTCCTAAAATATACCCGACACTTTTATCTTCAATGGAGCTGATGTGGTCCACAACATAAACAGACCCCTTTGCCCAACAGCAGGAAGCAATACATCCTGGGATGAAAAATGAAGCAGCAATAAGGGCGGAAGAGTGACAAGAGTAGCGAGATTAGACCAATCGTCAAAGAGACGGTATGCGAATGGACCCCAAATGAAGGGCTAAGAGATATATGGAAACAGTAAGAGCAAAGGTCTTAAGGTGCCCAAGAAACAACAGCAAACTCAGTTTGTTGTGGATCTAACACCATCAGGACGAGGAAGAAGGATAAAAGTCAAGGCCAGAAGGCAGCCTGGCCCAGGTAGGAGTGGAGGGGATGGCCCTGGAGAGGTGAGAAGTCTCACTTATCTATACCAAGTGTAATGGGAATATAATGAGGGTTTTGCACAAGGTAGACATGATATTTGATTCATGTTTATAAGTAATAATTTAGGCTTCAATTAAATAAAGGTGCTGTATGGTGGTAAGAGTGGAGATAGGGAGAAAAGGAAAAAGCTCTTGCAACACACGAGGCCTCTTTGGGCCAGCGCCATGCGTTAGGGACACAGACTCCAAACAGACTGTCACTGCTAAACCAGCTGGGACACTTCACCAAAAGCCCTCCCCCCTTCCCATCAGAAGAGCAGAGCCCAGCTTCTCTGCCCACTCCAGCTGCTTTCCTCTGCCAGTGTGCACTGACTCCACCAACAACTGACACTGTAGCACCTCTCAGATATTTTGGGACCAGTACCCCATTCTGGACCAAGGGGTGTGGCTTACTGGCATTAACATGAGTGTGTGTGTCGTACTGGAGTTTGAATTTTATTTTGTCAGCTGGTGCTACCACAAGAAAAAGACCTAAGAGCCCCGAGCTGTCACTGGCACCTAGTGTTTTGGGGAGGGCTCATTCTGCTCCTCTTTAGGAAACTTCTCTGGTTGTATCAGCTCCAGATTCTCTTTCCCATCTTGGAATGCCCATTGCAGGAACAGGCAATTAAACAATATTTATCACTTAATTACGTTCTGGTTATTTCAAGTCTGCATTATATCTACCTAAGTATTTTTTAAAACCTTAAAGAAGTGAGAAGTATAATTTTTAATATACTCCTCAGAATAATGAAATATATTCATATTTATTTATATTAATACTATTTAAGTATCTATGCCAGATGTTATTCTAAGTGTTCTCCATATATGAACTCATTTAATCTTCAAAACAAAACTGTGAGGTAAGTATGATGATTATTCACATTTTTTAATGACAAAGAGTTTGAGCTATATAAAGGTTATGTCATTTGATGTGTGCTCTGAACTGAATGTTTGTGTTCTCCCTAAATTCATGTATTGAAGCCTTAAGTCCCAATGTGATGGTATTTAGAAAGTGGGGCCTTTGAGAGGTGATTAGGTCATGAGGGTGGAGCCCTCAAGAATGGGATTAGCACCCCTATAAATTAGCACCCCTGTGTATCTGAGGGATACACAGAGCTCCCTCAGCCCTTCCTCCATGTGAGGACACAGAAAGAAGGTGTGAACTGTGAACCAAGAAGACGACCCTCACCAGAAGGATACCATGCAGGTACCTTTATCTTAGACTTCATGCCACCACAACTGTGAGAAATCAATTTCTGTTGTTTATAATCCACCCAGTCTGTGGAATTTTCTTAGGCATCTGGAACAAAGACACCAGCATACAGACCTAAGCCAATCTCTCCAGCTGTGCTTTTCCACTGAGATACCACTTGGGTTGACCAGCATCTGATGGGCACTAAGCATACAGCAGATGAAAACAGTTTATTTTACCTTTTGGTTGAATATCCAGTAATCAAATGCCATAACAATGAATCCATGTTTAGGCTGAAGAGAATCATATTTAGACAGAAGGGGAAATAAGAAGAGAGTAGAAGGATACATCCTGACTGTATAATTTCATGACTCAGCTGCTCAAGGACCCAGGCTGCAGCTACACCCACATGAAAATGGACCTCTGGCCCTCCACACTGCTCAGAGAGCCTCCCTATGAATCACACAGCATCCCTCAGATTCCTGACCTTGATCTGTTAATTAACTCAGTAAATGTCTGTGAAGTGTATGGTATGTGCCCGGCACCTTGAGCCCATCACTTACCCTTTCAGGTGTGGCTTCACTCAGGCCTGTAGCTTCCATCTTTTCCACGCCCTTAGCTTTCAGGTGGTTCTTTCCTTCTCAGCTACTGTTTGGGTGCCTCCAGTTATTTTTAACCAGCCCACTGCCTTCCTAAGAAAGAAAATGAGATGATAAATGTAAAGTGATTGAGAAATCAGACACAAGATTGAACTTTCCAGTATCAACACCTTCTTGATTTTCCATAAATGGTGGTGGATCTTCACATCCCACCTGTACCCAGAAAGACTTTATGTAGAAAAACTAATCTTAAGAAAAACAAATGCAAACCAACCCTAAGATTCATAGGGAGATGCTGTATAGCCAGAATAGCCAAGTAACCTTTAAAAAGAAGAACAAAGTTGAAAGACTCACACTTCCCAAAAGCTTAAGACAATGTGGCATTGGCATAAGGATAGATCTAGAGATCAATAGAAGATGAGAATCCAGAAGTAAGCACTTGCATTTATGGTCAATCCAGAAGTAAACCCTTGCATTTGACGAGGTGTCAGAAAAACTCAATGGGGGAAAGAATAGTCTTTTCAACCAATGATGCTGATGCTGGAAAACTGAATACTCACAGGCAAACGATGATGGTGGACCCCTATTTCACATTATATAAAAAAATTAACTCAACATTTATTATATATTTAACCACAAGAGCTAAAATTATAACACTTCATATTTTATATAAATGTAAAAGTGAAACCTTGTGGTCTTTGTTTAGGTTATGGTCTCTTAACTATGACACCAAAAACTCAAGTGACAAAATAATATATAAATAAATTTGACTTTATCAAAATTTAAAAATATTTGTGCTTCAAACTACACCATCAAAAAGTGAAAAGACTATCCATAGAATGGGAGGAAATATTTTCAAATCTCTTATGTGATATGAGACATATCTGGAATATATAAAATATACTTACAACTCAACAATAAAAAGACAATCCAATTTTTTTTAAATGGGAGAAGGATTTGAATAGACATGTTTCTAAAGAAGACATAAAAATGCCCAATAATTCCATGACAAGATAGACAATAACAAACGTTGACAAGGTTGTGGAGAGACTGGAACTCTTATACATTGCTAGTGGGAAGCAAAATGATATGATCATTTTGTAAAAGAAGTTGGCAGATTCTCAAAATGGTAAACATAGAGTTACCATACTACTCAATGTTTCACTCCTAGGTGTACGCTCATGAGAACTGAAAATATATGTTCATTCAAAATTCTATACACAAATATTCATAGCAACACCATTCCTAACAGTCAAAAAGGAGAAGCAAACCCAAATGTCCATCAACTGATGAATGAATAAATAAAATGTGGTATATCCATACAATGGAAATCTATTCAGCTATGCAAAGGAATGAAGTATTTATACATGCTACAGGTGAATCTCAAAAATATTATGCTCGGTGAAAGGAATCAGATAAAAACGGTCACATGGTATATAATTCAGCTTACACAAAATGTCAAGAATAGCCAAATACATAAAAACAGAAACCATATTGTGGCTTCCAGGGGATTGTGAGGCAGGAATGGAAAGCAACTATTGATGGGCATGGGATTTCTCTGGGGGGTGATAAAGATGTTCTGAAATTAGACAGTGGACAGCTCTGTGATCATCATTTAAGAAAAGGAGACATTTTGAATGAATTTTGTGGTATATAATTTATATCTCAATAAAGTTGGTATAAAAACACCCAGTTTTTAGCCCATCACTCTGTAAGTCCAGACCTGACATATCTGTGTTCTCTGCTAGGGTGTCACGAGACACAAATCAAGGTTTTGGTGGCTGTGCTCTCTTCTGAGCTTGGGGTCCTCATTCAAACTTATTCTTTGCAAAATTCAGTTCCCTACAAAGAAATAGGGCTAGATCCCTATGCTCTGCTTGCTGTCAGCTGAGGGCCACTCTAATTTCAAGAGGCCTCACACATTCCCTGACAGGTGGTCCTCTCCATCTTAAAGCCAGAAATAAAGAATCTTCCTTGTGTAAAGTCTCACTGCTCACACTTGTTCTTATTTATTTATTTAATTTGCTTATCTTTATTCAGGGTGAGGCTTGTCTCTTGTAGTGCTCATATGATTAGGTCAGTGGTTCCCCAGGACAATCTTTCTCAGAGCCAGCTGTGCTTTGTAACTTAACCTCATCGTGGGAGTGATTTCCATTCTATTCAGTCCCAGGGATTATACCAGGAGTGTATACCATGAGGTTATATTCTAGGTGGGCATCTTATAATTTTGTCTACCACGGCCCCCTGGCTAGAAATTCCCATGGCTTTCTGCTGACCCTGCCCTGTTGTCATCTTCAGGATTATTCTATGGATACTCTTGCATACCATCACATGGCCTAAGACAGAGCAGAAACTGAAAAAAAATACATTCAGGTTAAATGCCAAAGGTAATGTGTCTATACTGTCAGCCCTCAATGTCGGAGGGTCTGGTATTCAATGTGTTGACATTCTTTTTCAGATGACTTCTAAGAATAATTATGAATTCTAAAAGCTTCTAGGGATGGTCTTATTATTGTTCTAGAAATCTCTGTCTTATTTCCTATATTTGGAAACTCAACACTCACAAGAATTATGTGTATGAGTGTGTACGTGATGGAGAGAGCATGTGTGTGGGTGAGAAAGACAGAGATGACTGACAGAAACACTGCTTTATTGCTGCTATTGCTTCAAGCCATTCTGCTCAAAAATGGGAAATAACGTGAAAATCAATAGAACATAATAAAAGTCATCACTGAAGTGAAGAAGGCTGCCGAAAAGCAAGCATGTTTTGTGGAATGCTGGCAATCTCCTGCCCTGTTTATTTCTCTCTACCCTCCACCTTTTTACATGGTGTGGATTTATCCACAATATGCCCAGATTCTGAAAATCCCAGGGGAGGGGTGGAACTTAATTGCAGCCATAAGAAGCCTTGGAGGGCTTGGCTTATTGACATGGCCTCCATGCAAGAGGTAGAAGGACTGGCCAAATGATGATAATTGACCCAGACAGCAAGCGCAGAACATTTTCACTTTGCAACGTGATTTTACTCACCAGTCATGATATAAGATAAAAATTATGATGCTGTGATTTGTCTTTCAAGGAAGGTCCTTACCTATTTAGCAAAAATGCCTTTGGGTTCAGTTTTCCCATCTATCTATATAAGGAGATAATATTTATCTGGGTTTTTTGTGAGCCACATGTTGAGAGATGTACATTGTTCAAACTGTGTGTTTACTTAGATGAGTCTGATTTTAGCAAATATTTTTTTCACAGATTAAAAGAAATATTCCTATGTGCCAGTTAGGGGACTTTATGTTACATCATGCAAACCCTAAAATAATATTTTGAGATACATTTAATTCCCATTCCTTTATAGATCAGGAAATGGAAGCTATCAAAATGGTGTTGCTACTCATGGGTGCTGAGAGTTGAGTGAATCCCAGGACTTTAATTTGCATTGACTTTACTTGGACTGTCTGTGGCACATAGGTCTTTACTGCCCTTTGAGAAAATGACTCACTGCTTTCCCATAAACTTTGATAAGATAATGCTGCATTTTTCCAAAGACACTTTAGAACTTTGTACTATTACACATCCTTTGTCCAGAGAAGTCATTTAGAACTAAAGGTGCATTGGGTCATTTTATAATATAGAGTACTAAGTATGTGGATTGAGTAAATTCCTAGAAAAATTATTCAACTATGTATCATGCTAGTAATTGGACATTTTTTCTAAAGAACTTCCTCAGAGTCTTTTCAGATCAAAATTTGATATAAATAAATGTAACTGGATGTTCATTTTTTCTCATTTGTGGAGTCTTAGCTAAGGCCATTAAACTGAGCACCAAGATGGACAAGTCTCTCACTTTCTAAAAATGGTAGCTAGACTCATCCTCTTCAGGAATTACTAAGAAATAGTCAAAACTTGTTCTAAGATAATTAATCTATCATCATTCTTTGAACTCTAAGTAAGAGGACACTAGAAAAGAATCACAGCTGGAAAAAGAAAAGGGAAGGCAGGGTGGAGAACGCCCAAGGATTACCACCAGGTCAATGCAAGTGAGGGACCATAGGAAGACAGGGGATGTCTTCCAAAAGAAAAGACCAAAAGCTAACAAGTTTCCCCATCACAGTTTGGAAATAACCAAGCTGCTCACAGAGTCAGGAACAAACTCATGGGGCCACCTGTCTCTCCTAATGGGAACAGGAGGAGGTCTCAGGAGGTGCCTGGATTTTACGTGGGGGTGAGGAGATGCTGCATCACCTTTGAAAGTGATTGTAACTCCATTGGCAGATGTCTCCACTTCTGTTGGGAGGGTCTGTATTGCTATAGGGATGTGTCTACATTTCCACTGAAGGGGGATGAACTAACATTGGAAAGTGTCTGCATTTTCATTCTAGGCAACCCTATCTCTGTTAGTAAGTTTCTTCATTTCCCTTGGGAGAGGGCTGTATTGCCACTGGGAGGTGTGTACATATCCAGATTTTGGAGAGTAGGAATGCCAGGTATTTCTTATTGACAAGATAAGACTTACACGAAGTCAGCTGGAACATCATCCATACCAGAAACAATGTATATTATCTGACATCTGAGGGGAGAACAGGAGGAGGACAGAGAGCCGATTGTACCTCGGTTAAACCCACAGCATATGCCCCAACGTGACTAATCAACATTTTGGGATCTGCACAGAGGTCCTTAATCACATAGGGCCTTGCCCTTGCTTCCTCCTTTAGAGGAAGCACAGGTAAGAAACTATAAGGTATAACATGAGATGAAAACTAAGAGCAGATGACACACGTTAAATGAACTAAAGGCTGCAGAGCCTTATTCAGACCTGAATCCTGGGATAAGGATCAATGTAAATATAGAAGTGAGATACAAAGGCTGATTTAGACCAGCTTGGAGTTTTTAATGACTGAAAATGAGTTTATTCTAATGCAGGAATATGACAAAAAAAGGGGATGAAAGCTACCCACTCGGGAATGGAGAAAAGAAGACCAATAAAGTGGGTTCAAAGAGTACAGAGAGAAAAATACACTGTGTCTTAACTTGCCTCTGTCACGGTCAGCCCATGCAATGTGCCACTGACAGTCATGCATGCATGCAAATATATT